CCCTAGCTTGCATTTTTACTGTTGTTGTTCTTTAGTTTAGTTTAGTTTAGTTTAGTTTAGTTTAGTTTAGTTTAGTTTAGTTTTGTACAGGGTCTTCCTGTAGCCCCAGCTGGCCTGAAATTTGCTGTGTAGACCAGGATGCCCTCAAACTCATGGAGATCTACTTGCTCCTGCCTCCCTAATGCTGGGACTAAAGACATGTGTCACCAGGCCCAGCTAGCTTGCATTTTCTCTATAGAGAGAGCTTCCCTAAACACTATTCTGGCTTCTCCTTGGTCTTTAATTCACTCTTCCCAGGGAAGCAGAGTGATGCATCTGGTTGGCAAGTTTCTGGAAAATAACTGTGAGCTTGGCTCACCTCTGTCCAGTCCTTTGGGGAATTAACATGCAGCAAGCACGATTCCCTCAGTCCTGCTGTGACTGGGCAGTAAGTTGGCCCAGGTTAGGGTTAGTTTACAAAAGTTCATTTGGCTGACATATCTAAAGCTTTCTCCTAGGACCCATGGAGCGTGTGTGTGTGTGTGTGTGTGTGTGTGTGTGTGTGTGTGTGTGTGCATGTGTAGTTTTCTGTGTCAAACAATGGCCAGTCACACTAAATACTAAATCAATTTTACTCCTCTTCCTCCTCCCCTCCCTTCTCCCCTTCCACCTCCCCTCCCTCCTCCCCTCCCTCCCCCTCCTCTTTCTCTTCCTCCTTTTTTTTAAGATCATCCTCTCAAATTCTTCCATCCTGTCAGTGCAAACGTTATCATTTTGGTAACAAATTTTAAAGCTTCATGCAAGCTGCAGCAGACTACTGTCTGCCCAAACCCATTCTCTCTTTCTTAATAACAAACTCCAAGCTTTAGTTAGTCTCATTGCTGCCTAACAACTACATGTGCATATACATTGTAAGTTTGGGTTGGTAAGAAACAAAGAGAAATGTCCTAGTTTCTTCAGGAATTGTCTTTAAATGGAAGTTCAACCTTTTCCTCTCCCTCCAACCTGCCATCTGAACTTGTATATGATAAGCCAGAGCGCTAGCAGTCTTACAGAACAATTACCTGAGGTCCACTCAGTAAGGAGGAGTATATGAAGTAGGATCAAGTTCTGGATGGATGACATAAAGGGGCTCCACCAACTTCAAACTGCTTACTTTTATGGGAGAAAGGAAAAAAAGTTGTCCCTTATTTAAGCTATTGGTATTTTGTTTTTACAATAGGTATCTAAAATAATTCTTACAAATATAAGAAATCCCCAGCACTTGGGAGGTAGAGGCAGGCAGATCTTTGTGAGTTTGAGGCCAGCCTGGTCTACATAGTGAGTTCCAGGACAGCTGGGGCTACAAGGGAGACCCTGTCTCAAAAAGACAGAAAAATAAAATAAAATAAAGTAAAATAAAAAAATATATAAGAAATCAGCTTGGACACCTCCCTTTGCTGGTCCTTTCTTCCCAGCTAAGCTGCTAACTCTAAGCCTTCCATTACAGAAACCGCAGAGTACTCAATTTTAACAGAAAGTTAAAACTGCTTGAAAGGATACAATTATTTGGTTTTAAATTTTAAAATATTTCAAAGATATTTCACAGGGAAAAAAGAAAAACACCACTAAACAATCCCACTTTGGTTTTTGCCTAGTGTTTCCAAGTATTTATATACTCTTTTTAGCTAATTTGTTCTATCAGTACTAGGACATTTTTTAATTTTTTTTTTTTGGTATTTTTGAGACAGATTCTCTCTGTAGTCCCAACTGGCCTAGAACTCGCTATGTAGACCAGGCTGGCCTTGAACTCACAGAAATCCACCCGTGTCTGCCTCCCAAGTGCTGGGACTAAAGGCATGCACTACCATGCCCGACTTAATGATTTTTCTTATGCAAGCTCTAAGAGTTCGAATTTTGTTTTGTTTTGAGTATACGTGCAACTATCTTTACCTCTTTATATGTAGATGTTGCTATGTTTTCTAACAGATACTTATTACTAATTTTTATTTCATTCTTAGGCTGTTTTGTATCATTTGTGCTGAAATCCTCAGCTCTGAATTCATCCTCATATCCCCTCTTCAAAGAGTAAGAAACTTTCCGAACTCTTTTGTCTCTATCATGCCCCTAGTGCCTTTTCATCTAGTTTGACTGCATCTTTGACCCAGCATGGACAGCTAGACAGCACTTTTTTTTTTAAGCTATCATTTATTAGAAGCTTTCTGTACAACTGAGTGCTATCTTAAAGCCAACTTTAAATTTTTGTTTTTGTCTGTTTGAGACAGGATCTCACTCTATAACCCAGAATTCACTCTTATAGCCCAGGCTGGCCTCAAACTCCTAGCAGTCCTATCTCCTGAGCGATGGCATTACGGATGTGAGCCATCATGCCCAGCGTCACGTTTTCTTTATTTCATCTAATTTCATGTCTGATCCTACAAGTGAGGTGTTCTCTCCATTTTATAGGTGAATCACTAATTTAGAGATGTTAAAAACAATGCAAGGTTTGTTTGTCTCCAAAGTTCATTTTCCTTCAATTGTACATCTCCTTTTTGAAAAGCCTCTGTGGTTCTCTATACCTCTTAGCATTATATTCAGGACTTCTTAGTTCTCAGACATCAGCCCAACCAATTTCTTTTTCGTGTCTTCCCTTTTTTCCCTTTATTGGTATCAACTGGATATTGCAAAAGAGCAGAATACATCATTCAATTTAGAAAAAAGTCTTGGTGACAAAATTCAGTTTTATAAGAAACAAAACTATGGAGCTGTAGACATGGCTCAGCAGTTAAGAGCACTGGCTGCTCCTGGCTGTGCTTGCAGAGGACATAGCTTCAGTTTCCAACACCCACACAAGGCAGCTAACAACCATCTGTAACTCCAGGTCCAGGGGATCTAACAACCTTTTCTTGCTTTCGTGAAAACTGTATGCACATAGTGCAATTACATACATGCCAGAAAGCATTCATATGCATAAAATAAGAATTAAAAATTAAAATATTACATACTAATAAAAAGAAAAAATATTGAAGATTATAAAAACTGAATAAGGCAACCATGCATTTCAGATCTAGATGGTCACAGGATTAGGACCTAACTGTGCCTAATGTCCTCTGAGCTATCTCCTTTCAGAACACATTCACATATATGCGCAAACCTGACAGAGCCTCTTCTGAGCACAATCCTTCTCCCCAAAAGCACTAATATCAGTGTTTGAGGAAACATGAGAGTTCCTGTCAAGTAGCTGCCATTATCCATCAGAAGTTCCTCAAGGAGTTTCTCCTGATGACTACAGCATGAGATTGTGGTGTATATATAGATCCTGGCATGCACAGGTCTAGCACTTGACAGTGTTCACTGCCATGTTCAAGTCAGGCACATGGTACCATGGTGCTCTGGATAGCAAATTCACTGGCATTCTAAGAACTTCACAAATAGCAAACTCCTGTGACTCCTCTTTAAAAAGATACTATGTGGCTTGTAAAACTAATCTTCAGGGTACGTCCCATCAAATCATCATTTCATTATTTACTATTCTCTTTATTTCATAATATGAAACCTCTAAAGTTGAGTTGAATGAACACATCTTGAAAAACTCAAGCATTTGACTAAGGATAAATCACTGCCAAAGGAATTTATGCCCTCAATCTACTTTACTTTTTTTTGGTCTTTTTGAGACAGGGTCTCCCTATGGCCCCAGCTGGCCTGGAACTCGCTATGTAGACCAGGCTGGCCTTGAACTCACATAAATCCGCCTTCCTCTGCCTCCCAAGTGGTGGGATTAAGGGCCTGAGCCACCACGCCCAGCTCTACTTTACTTCTGATATCTAGTTGAATTGGACACTATGGTAAGAGTTTTGCTGGAGTCAGGACAATCAGAAAGGCTCATTTTGAAGCCTTTAAGAACACTGGTCAATAGGAAGACAGCCAAATGAGCTGGCCATAAGACAGTGTGATGCATCTGTACTGGATGAAGTCGGAGAATGTGGCCACACTCTTGATTTCAGATAGGGAAATCAAGGCTCAGAAAACTTAGGTCCATCCAAAAACAAAAAAACCCCAACACACAGAGATAGAAGATACACCAGAAGCCCAGCAGCCTGCTCCCCACCATTGAGCTCTCCCCACAAGAAAACCCTGCTGTGCAGCTCAGCCTAGTTTGCAGCCTGGGATTTTATGCTCCACCAGGAGCTCTTGGGCTGGTCAAGGAGGGTGCACCCTGGCTGCTCCACCACCTGGGAGCAGAACAGAGAGGTCTATAAGAGCACCGTACCTACTCATGTAGGGAGAACAAGGAAGACAGGCTTCCTGAAGGGAAATTCTAATATAACTGTCACAGAAGACCCAGAATGTCCCTAGTTGCAAGAAAGCAAACTCACTCTTGACACGGCCATATATAAAGTCAACAGCAGTCGATTTCAATTTACAAAGTCCTTCTGATACCAGGTCATGGAAATGTCAACCACCTCTGATAAAGGATTTACTGAACGGAATCATTGAGGCTACAGTTGAAATCGCATTCATTCACTTATTAGCTAGGTAGCCTTAAACAAGTTACTTAACTTTGGGCACTCGGTTCCTCAGCTTTAAATCAAGGGTAACAATGGTATGTGTTTGGAGAACTTTGTTCACGGTACCTCTTACACTTAAAAGTATCAGCTCTCCTTAACTAGTTAACAGGGCATACATTATTCTTCAAAACATTTTACGTATTTTATTTTTGCAGTGCTTAGAGGGTCAATAACAGTTTAGGAAGTAGGGAGCAAAGGGGTTAAAATGACTTGCCTAAAGTCTGAGGAAGCTGCTTTTCCTAATCTGCACTTTCTTTCAGAGAGAGAACGCTTCCCTAAACGCCGACCCGTTTTCCCTTGGCTCTTTAGTTTCTTGTTCTAGATCGGGAACGAAGAGTGACGCACAGGCGTCCAGGCCCAGGAACCCGGACCCTCAAACTCCCACAGCCAGCGCCCACCTCTCGCGAGACTGGTGGTCTGGTTTGCCGAGCCGAGGCTCCCGGAAGTGGGCCGGGAAGTCAGGCCACGCCCACCTCCCGGGTCCTCTGGCCAGCTGGAGTCCAGCGTCGGGCTAGCGGCGCGAGGTGGAGTGTCGGGCTGCCCATGGCCAGTCATCGTCACCTCCCCGGCCGGACGCCCCTCCCCGTGCCCTTCACTGCGCCCTGCCCTCCCGCGCTGCCGCTGGGGTCCGTCTCGGCTTCCCCGCTGTCCTCCCGGGGTGCAGCTCCCCCGACGCCGTACGTCTGAGCCGTAAGTGCCGGGAATGCGGCCGGCTGCGGCGGAAGCGCATTCTTTCTATCTATAGCTCTCTGTACATCGAAGGCTGGGCGCAGCTATTCCGGGGGCAGCAACTGCTCCCCTCCGCCTCCCTATTGGTGGCTTCCAACCCGAATTTGGGAATGGGGCGATCTCCCACCTGTTATCTTTCTGCAAACTGATCTCCCCAGGCAGAAGTGCCATTTGGAGCCTTCGGGCCAGTTGGCTTGGGACAGGGCATCTTGGCCCCTGAAGTCTAGGTTTCCCCCGAATGCATTGCTTTCCTCTGAGAATGCTTTAGCTAATTTTTTTCCGCTGGGTTTTAATTGTAAGAATACATTTTTGCTTCAGGCTTCCTCATTCTGCGGCTCTAAAAGGAAGAAAGCATTCATTTCCCTTGTCCGATCTTAGGATTCATTCTGTTATTGTTCTGGTAGTCTTGAAGCCTCTTAGGATATGTAAGTGCCACTGTCAACTCCGGCGAGTTTAGTATTGTAGTTACTCTCTTTTTCCTAATTCTTTTTTGTTTCATAGGGGTAACTCGTTGCACTTTGGAGTTCTTTTAATCTTACGGAAAGATTTCAAATCCACCAGAAGCCAAAATGGAGCACAGTAAACAGATTCGTATATTACTACTGAACGAAATGGAAAAGCTGGAGAAGACCCTTTTCAGACTTGAGCAAGGTCAGTCACAAGTTGTTTGGTTTTGCTCATTTATAACATGACAGTTTTCAGTTCATTGATGCTCTGTTAAATTTCTTATACCTTGAAGTTGGATATTAGGGGTGGAGGATAAAACTCAGTGCAAGAATGCATGTTTAGTGTAAATGAGGCTCTGGATTCAACACCTGCACACACACACACCTCTAAGTTAGACGAAATTTCCTAGATCTTTCTTTATCTTGACTTGTGCAAAGATTGTACTATGTTCCATAGACATTACTGATGAAACTTGATGTTTATATCTGTCAAGTTAGAACAAAGATAACAGTTCATGTTGTTGCAAACTGATAGGTTAAACAGAAGTTGCAGGGCAGAGGATCTAATTCAGTGACAGAGTTTGCATAGTCTGTGGAAGAACTGGATAAGTCCCCAACACCAGGAAGAAAAAGTCCTAGAAGCTCCATATGAAATTAGAAGGCTGATCATGCTGCTTGTAATAGCATTTATTGTCATAATTTGGTGAAATATTTTATGTGTAGCTTTGCTTAGCAATATCTGTAGTATTGGTTTTTTGGTCTTTTTTTGAGATACAGTCTCCCTGTGCCCCTGGAACTCACTAGACCAGGCTAGCCTTGAACTCACAGCCATCCGTCCACCTGCAGCAAAAAGCATAGTAAGCTCTTGCTTGTATTATCAGAAGCTTCTTAAGTAGAAGATACAAGCTGAAACATTTCCTGCCAAGTAAAAAAGTGGGAAAGCTGATTGGGTTATGTTGAAATATATGTGAGCTATCATGCAAAGCACAAAATTGCGTTAAGGATACCGCTCAGTGATAGAGTGTTTGCCTAACGTAAGCAAAGCCTGCAGTGATCCCCAGCGTAGCCCAAACAAAAAATAAAAGTAAGATAAAGGATCAAATTGCATTTCTATAAGATAAGCTGACAGATGTTTTATTTTCCTAGGTGTTTTAATTTTTCAATACTGAAAATGTCTTACCTATTTTATTTGAATATAACTTGTAAAATACAAGTAGGAAGCATTTAATGTATGAAAAATAAAATCAATCCTCTTGTTTGTGTGTTAAAAGAACACTGAGAAGCATTTTGAATATTTTTTAAATTTCTATAATGTTTTACAAGTTAGGCTTTTGAAAAAGATTCAGTTATTTCATGTGTTACCTCCGTGCCCAGTGGGCCTCATCTTCCAACTTCGCTTGGCATTTAAGATCACTGAGTACTTACTCCAATTTCGGTTTTCCTGACTGCACTTTCCTGGTTTTGATTTTTCCCCTTCCCTCTTGAGTGTTCCTGTCAGTTTCATGTCCCTCATTGGGCTCTCTTCCTTCTGCATCTTAATCAATTGCCAGTGTCTGCTAGGTTTTCTTTTCTCCTGCATTCTCACTCCTCAGCTTTTGTCTCTCTGCTGAGGTCTCTTTTCTAAATAAAGGCCTTGAGCTTCACTCTCTTCTTGGAAGCTTTTGAATCCAATATAATGATGGGTTGGGAGCCAGCATTTTCTTGGCTCTGCAGCTGTTTCATAAATTACATTAATACTAAGCATTCATTTCTTGATAAAGTGAAGACATTTTGCTCTCCTATGAAGTTCAGTTTTGAGACTCAAAAGCAAAAAGATATGACTTTGTAGTGATACAGTACTAAGTAGATACAGAGCTTTGGTCTCTCTGTGTATCTGGTTCCACCTTGGGACTTAGCCACATTTTGATATTTTTCTATAGACTAGCCATAAGGTAGCCCAGTTTTGGTTGTACTTCTAATATGTTCTAAACCACTCTTCCACCTGAGCCTTGTTTCCCAGGTCTCCTTCTTATTTTACTAATGTCTCTATCTTTATAGTTTTCTGCACTAGAACCTTAAGCATTCTTCCTTCCTATGTCCTCTCTTTAACAGTCATCTGTCTCTCCCTGTTTGTCTCTTTCATCTGACCAGATGTAAATGCCCTCATAAACTTCTTATACAGTCTCTTCCCTTTTTTATTTATGGAGCCTATGAAGTTATATCTAAAACTGGTGCCTGGCTTCCAAAGCAGTCTATAACGGGACTGCACTTTGTCTAGCCAAGACTCTTACTGTTCCCCATTTTAGTGTCTGACATCTTTATAGCTGTCCCGTTCAGTCTTGTTAATGCCATGTCTAGTGGTCTTTTTTGTGCCTGTGCCTACACCTACTCCTGTCAGATTCCTCTGTAGCTGTTCAGTCCTTTCAGTGCCATTCTGTATGTTCAGCTTTCAGATGAAACGCCATCTCGTTGGTGAAGTCTTCCCCTAATTTTTCATTCTCTCCTTTGTTTGAGTCCATCTACACAGTGAGCACAGGTCAATTACATGCTGAGAAATGAAGCTGTGTCTAAAGCTTGTGGGTATTATAGTGCACAACTAGAGGTTAAAATCTGTGAGGATAGAGATGGTCTCACAAACGCAGTGCAGTGTGCAACAGTGAATGAATCTTTGCTGATGAATTCTAAACTCCAGCTAAAACTAGACAAAACTGAACCTGGTGTGGTAGCGCACGCCTTTAGTCCCAGCATTCAGGAGGTAGATGCAGGCAGATCTCCATGAGTTCAAGGTCAGCCTGGTCTACACAGTGAGTTCCAGGCCAGCTGGGACCATGGGGGAGACCCTGTCTCAAAAAGACCGAAAAAAAAAAAAGGTAGCCAAAACTGTAAAGTCAGCTAAGCTGTTGGAAGAGAGATAACTGAAGGGTTTATTAAATAAGAATGAGATGTTGGCTCTGTAACTCTATTTAAATGCATCCAAATGTTTATGCCCTGAAAGATGAGATGAGCATAGGACAAATCACTGAGAAGCCTTTTTAAAAAATTATACCTGGGGCTGGAGAGTTCGGCTAAGAGTGCTTACTGCTCTTGCAGAGGACCTGGATTTGGTTCCCAGCATCCACATCAGGTGGCTCACAACCACTTATAACTTTGGTTGAGGAGATCTGACATCCTCTTTTGGCCCCTGAGGGCTCCTGCACATATATGGTACACATATACTCATGCATACACACACACACACACACACATATACACATACACATACATTTGTGTATAAATATATAAATATTTTTTAGAAAAATCATATCTCAGACTGGTGAGATGGCTCAACAGGTAAGGTGCAGGCTGCACAAGCCTAGTGACCAGAGTTCAAGTCCCAGAACCCATGTAAAGGTAGAAAGAAAAAACTGACCCCACAAAGTTGCTGTCTAACCTTGGCACTTATTCCTGTTCATGCAGGCACATACATACAAACACACAATAATAAAATACACATTTTTCAAAAATCACATCTGGTGGTTGGGGAGTCAGCTCAGTGGTAGAGTGCTTACCTAGCAAGCACAAAGCCCTTGATTCTGTCCTCAGCTCTGGGGCATAGGGGTGGGGAACCAAGATAAGAAAAAATAACAACAAAAACCAAGGCAAAAATCATATCTGGGGGCTGGAGAGATGGAGCAGTGGGTCAAGTGTCTGTTGCGCAAAAACGAAGACCTGAATTTGGATCCTCAGTAGAAGCTGTGTGTGGTGGCACATGCCTGTAACCCTAGCACTGGGGACATGAAGACAGGCAGATTTAGACTGACAGCGAGCTCCAGGTTTAGTGAGATAGCCTTTCAAAAACTAAGGTAGAGAGGAATAAAGGAAGTCACCCAACGTCCACCCTCTGACCTTCACATGCATATGCATGAGTGCCTGCACCTAGACAACCATGTGCACACACAATAAGGGAAGAAAGAGCCAGGTGTGGTGGCACATGTCTTTAATCCCAGCACTTATCAAGGAGAGGCAAGCAGATCATGGTGAATTAGAGATCAGCCTGGTCTATATAGCAAGTTCCAAATCAGCCAGAGCTACATAGTGAAACCTTGTCTATACATAAATAAATCTGATTAAAGATAAGGACTAATGACTTCATAGTTGAGAAAGACAGAATAAGAAAATTTTCAACTCATAGGAATTGTTGACAATTAAATGTGAAGAAAAAAATTCTGGTGGGCCAGAATTTAACTGGGCCTCAAATTTAACTGGGCTTCAAACCCTTCTCTGCTTTTCTTTTCTCCCCAAGAAACAACGATCGTTTTCAAAACTGACATCTCTATAGACTTTTCTAATTCACTGAGTAGAAGTCTTAAGTAAATGTCAGTTCTAGTGCAATAAAGTTTTTTCTGTTTTCTTTATCATTTTGTACCAGAAAATGAACAAAATCAATGCTTCTCAAACCTGGGTTTCTTCCAGTCTTTTATATAGGTTGACCAGATTTACAATTGTTAGTATTTGTGTGTGTGTGCGCGTGCACGCAGCACAGGCATGTTCCTGATATGGTGCATTTGTGGAGGTCAGAGGTCAATTTTTGTGCATTGGTTCTCTCCTTCCACCATTAGATCCAAGTATTGAACTCCGCCTGTGGGGCTTGGCTGGCAAGCACTTTTACCCACTGAGCTCACCAAACTGTTTTGATTTTTTTTTTTTTAAGATTTATTTTATTGGGGGGGGGCTGGAGAGATGGCTCAGCGGTTAAGAGCACTGACTGCTCTTGCAGAGGACCTGGGTTCGATTCCCAGCACCCACATGACAGCTACAAACCGTCCTTAACTCCAGTTCCAAGGGATTCCGAAGCCCTCTCCTGACCTCCACAGCATTGCACGACACAGATGCACTCATATACGTGCAGGCAATATACTCGTACACGTAAAATAAAAATAATAAATAAAATATTTTTTTAAATGCTGCAAAAAACATTTATTTTTAATTATGTATATGTGTGTGGGTATGTACACATGAGTGGAGGTGCCCATGGAGAGAAGAAGGCTTCGTGTCCCCTGGAGCTGCAGTTGCAGATGGTTGTGAGGCACCCAGTGTGGGTACTGAGAAACAAATTCGGGTCCTCTGCAAGAGCAGTGTGCACTCATAATCACTGTGCCATCTCTCTAGCCCTGTTTCTGTTTGTAAAAAGAAAATTTTTATTTATAAAGGTTCCTTGATTGGGAGAAGCTTCTGTAACTCAAGTAG